TACGGTCTACCAACCTTCACCTCCTATATTCCCTCTAAACCCTAATATTAAGTTCTGGCTGGGTCCTATAATTAGTGGCGAACTGAAAAAAAAAAAAAGAAAAAAAAAAAAAAAAAATATTATATATATATATTATATATTATATATATATATATATATATTAAATGTCATATATATATATTAATGTCACTGTCTTTTTAAATACATAAATTTCATTTTAAATTTTTATCGATTATCGTAATGGCCTCTTGAATTTTGCGAGGGATTTTTATATTTTTACATTTCAATAATAACTATATATTTTATCAAAATAAATATATAAAAATGTAAGATTATAATTGAATCTCCATCACAGTTATTTCATTTTAAGGAGAGACATAATTAGAATAGTTGTATGTAATATTTGTGGTGTTGTTATTCCTCCATGCAAAAATAATTTAGGAAAATAAGAAATAGTGATTCAGAAAAGGCTGAATTGCAGTACATGTGGGTTGCTAGTAGTAATTAGTTAATTTGCTATTTATGGGATTTTTTTTGTTTGTACTCGGACCGGTTCTAATATGTTCAGGAGTTCGAACATCCAAAAGTCCTTCAAGCAAAGGACTAGAGAGACAGCCAAGTGTATTTAGGTTTTAATCGATTTAGTAAAAGCAGGTGGGCAGAGTTAGGCATGGCCACCGGTTCATTTTGAATCAGAACTGAACTGGAGTCGAACCCTACTGTAAATGAATCGAAATAGAATCGGAACCGCCGGTTTAAAATTTTGAACCGAAACCGGCAATTCAAGGACAGGTTAAGGTTCATGCAACTGTTAAAATCTGAACCTGAACCGGCGGTTCCGATCCGGTTCGAACTGGAAATTTTCTATTTTTATTTTCAGAATAATAATCACTAACCTTATTTTATACATCTCTAAAAATCTCAATAATATTTTACTACGTGATATACTTTACTTAAATTTTTTATATTTTACTACGTGATATACTTTACTTAAATTTTTTTTTTTTTTCAAAATACACTTTACTTTAAAAGTTAAAAATCTAAAAAGTAAAATAGTAAAAAAAGAGAGAAATATTTAGTCTAAATTTATATTGTTTTTAAATTTTTTTTACCCTTTTAATTTATTTAATAAGTTTAATAAGTTTAAGATTACATTCTTTTGAAGCATTTTTCAAAATTTTCTTATAATTTATTTAATTAATAACATTTAAACAAAATAACGTGATAATTTATTTGATTATTTTGTAAAATTAATTAATATTATTCTTACATGAGTATGAGTATGAGTATTCTAAAATTTATTTAAAATAAAATTTACTAATATTTTTTAAACTTATATTAATATTTTCAAAAGAAAAGATGTATCGTTAGAACCAATTTTTTCTTTTTAAAAAAAAAAAATATCGCCGGAAGCCGTGATCGAAACTGTCGGTTTACCGGAACCGATTGGAACCGAAACTGGACCAAAATCGACGGTTCAAGACTGGTTCAAGTTCAATATTTTAAAAATTTTGAACCGTCAATTTCGTAAATTAGAATTGATGGTTCAATGAACCGGCTGTACCTAGTTGGAGTTGTTATTTAATCCCATTTACATCACAAGGGTCTTTGTTGTACTCTGACATAATCTTAAATTTTACATGAAAATGAATTTCTAAGTTTTTAGATAAAATTATATTGAAATAGAACTATAGAAGTATAATATTAATATTGTTAAGCTAAAAAAGAAATGCACTACAAGTACTAGATAGAATTATTTAAAACATCAATTAAAAGTTAGAGACAAGTACAAGTGGACTATATTTTCAAGTTAGGCGGACTCTACCAGCAAGGTAATCAATTGAAGTAGGAAATCACTTACAGAACTAGGCTTGTCGATGCCCAAATGTAATTTTCTTTTAAAAATCTGGCCTAACTGAAATCCTAATTGCTTAATATACTGTTTTAACTTGTAAGAAAGCTGCTAGTAAACTGTAGAGCTCAAGCGTTGCTTGGATGCCGCGCAGAGTACTCGACAGCCATAACTTAAAAAAATTGGAACATGAAGTCAAAATTATAAATGCTTTTATGTGGATTTGAAATATCCTACAAAAAATAACATACTATTAAGATCTTGAGATTCCAGATCATTAAGAAAATATTGAAAATAAGCATATTAAAAAAAAAAAAGAGTCTAAGATATACCAATACCCCTTTAATTAGCTGCATCTCACTTTACAGATTTTGCGAATTTTGATTTCACCACCCTTAATTTAAGTATAGAAATACATGAGAACTAAATTTAAATAATGTGTTAATCGATGGCCAATGATGAAGTCATGGTTCAGTCAAAAAGAAAATTAAGAACTTAGTAATTATTTCCCTAACATATAATTTTTTGTTTCTATTGATTTAGATATTAAAAATTTTGCCTTTCTTACTAAAGAAGGACTCAAATTTTATAAACAAGAAATCAAGTATTCTATCTTTATAGATGGAGAAATTTTTTGCTGAAAATGCTTTCCTTTATAGATATGATGCGGCACGAGTAAAATTAAACTTAGTCTAATGGAACATGTATTTGTGCATGGGGACATGCATGTTGTCTTCCTCCTTATAAGCTGCAAGGAAACATGTTAGAAACACAGTTGCACCTCATTCTCCACCCTACTATTTTCCTTTACGTCACAATTATCAGTGATCAAATTTTATTTACATAAAATATTATGAATAAATAATTACTGTCATTACTACATACACCTGAAATAATCCATTCATGTATTCTAAACTGATCCATAAATGACTTGATAACAAATTGAAATTTCTTTCCTTCATTGAGAATTTAAATCTTTATTAGGAGATTGCCTTTTATACTGGCCTCGGAACCATTTAATTCTCAGAAATTCCTAATGAACAAAATAAATACTGTAAATCTGCAAGCGCTAAGATCTATAATATTATTAAATAGAAATAAAAGAACATTAAGATTTAATCATTAGTCAGATTGTAAATAATATAAATCCGCCTGCTAGGCAATAACTTTTAATATAGTGTTCAATAATATAACTTATACTAGTATTTAGAATTTAAGACAACAAATTATGAAATGCTACTATTTTTTAATGTTTGATAAAACATAGTAAAATAGCTGACAACTGCTTAAAACATATAACAACTATTAAAAAAAATTAATTTTGATCAACATGATGCTCAATTTTAAAAATAAAGCAAAACGAAAGACAATGACTAGGGCAGTTTTTTTTTTTAGACCTTTGTCTGGTGGGTTAGACTAGGCAAACAACGGTGGATTCGGTTTAAACCAAAATTTTTTATCAGAACCAAATTGAAATTTACATTTAAATCGAATCAACTTGAGTCAAATCATTTGGTTCATCGATTTTGATTGTTTGGTACCATTTCAAATCAATTTTAAGTCTAATTGATTAATTTTTGTAAAATCGAGTTGAACCACTGATAATTTCAGTTCAAAATAACTAAATTTGTAAAACTAAATTATTTTAGCAAATTGACCGAACCGAACTGAAATGGGGTGGTTCTGTGTTTGATTTAATTTGAATGTTTTACACACCACCTAGGTTAGACAACGGGTGGTTGGTGGAATAGAAAAGACGGAGTCAAGTATGTAGGAATAAGATCACCAAAACCTAATTCATGAATCATGACTCTTTCTTTTTCTATACTACATTCAAACTTCAAAGAATTGTGGAAAGAGCTGACTTGCAGGAGTAGTTATGGTCTGCCATACACTTTCTAACTGAGAATATTAATTTCGTAGTATTAAATGTTATCCTTGTTCAACTCCGGACTCTTTATTACTTAATAAACTGCAATTAACAATTGGCACCACCGACACCCTGTTTGGTTTATTCAGAAGATCTTTATTAAAAGTATGTCAAACACCGAGAGAATTCCAACCTGTGGGATTGTTTCGGAACTATTATTTTTGATTCATATAATATTGTTTCTTTTGTAACTTGCCAAAATACTTTCACATCGTTAATTTGAGGATTGAAACTTTTCTTTCCCCGCCCACTTTTTTAATCCAAACAGCACGCAACTCAGGGATTGTCATGGTTCAGTTTCAAATTTGAATTGAACCAAAATTGAATCAGTTAAAATCGACACTAAATCATGACCATAAGGTTTGATTTTGATTTTTCATTTTTTGAAATTAAAACTGACGGTTTTAGTTTAAAACCGACGATTCCAATTTGAAACCGTGAAAAACATGTTCTTAAAAAAACTCTCAACTTATTTTTTTATTTTATTATAGTTTTTTAAAGCAATTTTTAAGTATTTTTATTAAATAGATTTAGTTTTTTTCAATAGCAATATTTATTATTTTTATTTATTCAAGCTCCAAATCATAAAAAAATATTTTAAAACATATTATTTAATTTTAATTCAAAACGAAAAAAAACTGAAACCAACGATTTTAAAACCATCTTAAAAATCATCTAAAAGCAATTCAATTTTGATTCAATCTTTTTTATAACCGAAACCGACAATTTTAAAACCGTGATTATAACTAACGCACTTCGTTATTCCTCCCACTAACCATTTTGAGCTACAAACCAACCCAATTTTAGTAAATAGAAATATTTATTTTCTTCTCCGTACTCACCAAACTTGCTTTCCCTGTTGAAGTGGTCAGCTAGGGCTTTTGATTTTATTCATTTCAAGCATGTATATTTTCAAGTCACTGGTTTTTTCATTGATTTGATTTAAAAGCAGAATTAGAAAGGTGGCATAAGCGAGTTTGTTGGTCACCATTATGTCCAAAAAATACTCTTACGTAAGACATGTGCTGTTCCATATTTAACCCTAATTTTGACGATATTGCGTCCAGATTCATATGTGTACATGTACATGTATTCTTAATATGCTCTTTCCCATAATTCCATATTTGTAAAATAATCTGTGAGCCTAGGAGAAGTCTTCAGTTAGGTAAGCTGGCCCATGACCCTACCAACCAACCGAACAACTCCCCTCCAGATAATAAAAAATTAGTAAAAAAAGAAGACACTCTTTGAAATCCAAATATAAAACAAGAGGTTGTTCAAACTTGAACCTGTATGTTTTTTTGGTCCGGCGCCATTACATCCTCAACTAACATTACGTACTTCATCTCTTTGCAAATCTGATACGGAGAGATGGGAGTGGAGAAGAGGAAGACGTTGCTGGAGGATCTGGTCTGCAAGGCAGGAGGCTGTGCGGTGATCGACGGTGGATTCGCAACCCAGCTCGAAACACACGGCGCTGCCATTAACGACCCTCTTTGGAGCGCTCTTTGTCTGATCAAAGACCCTGACCTCATCAAAAGGGTTTTTTTTTTTAATTTCTGCTTAATATATAACAATGCAGTAATAGCTCTGTTTTTATGGGATTTTCAATTTTTGATTTTGTAGGTTCACTTGGAATATTTGGAGGCTGGTGCTGACATTTTGATCACTTCTTCTTACCAGGTTTCTGATTTTCTTTTCTTTCTTTCTTTCTCTTGTATGTATAAAAGTTCGACTCTTTAGTCAATTTATGTCATGTTTCTATTCATGACATAAGCGTGCAGTTTTTCTGCTAAAACCTAAACCCTCAATGCACAGTGTGAGAAATTTTGTCACACAGCGAGAACAAACATAATGTATTTTATGAGTCATAAATTTGGTTTCTTGGACCATAAAAATCGATGGAATATTGAAGAGCCAATAATTTGAATGTTGTTTTATGATTTAGTATTTAATGGTGATTGTTGGGGCTTTAGATAAATGGATGTGGAACAGAATCAAATTATTTGATATAATGCACTATATATTTACTAGAGAATGTTGATTTTGATTTTGATTTTAGTTTTATTCTATTTTTTAGGCTACTATTCCAGGATTTGTGTCCATGGGACTGTCAATTGAAGAAGGAGAGTTGTTACTAAAGAAGAGTGTTAAATTGGCTGTTGAAGCACGTGATAAGTTTTGGGATGCTGTGAAAAATAATCCTATAAATGGATATAACCGCGCTTTGGTTGCAGCCTCCATTGGAAGCTATGGAGCGTATCTTGCTGATGGCTCGGAGTATAGGTATCATCTCTCAAGAATCATTACATTGTTAAAGCTTTAGCCGTTATAGTTTTCCTAGTTCAATTTCTACAATGTTACGGCTATGTTTATCACGCTTCAATTGTGTTTTTGTTGTTTGCTTCCAGTGGATATTATGGGCCAGATGTGAATCTGGAAAAGCTCAAGGATTTTCATCGACGCAGATTGCAAGTTCTCATGGAAGCAGGTCCAGATTTATTGGCCTTTGAGACAATACCCAATAAACTTGAAGCACAGGTTTGTTCTTTTCCCATTTCTGCTTTTGTATGATAAGATTGTATATGAATTGTGTGTGATAATTAGGTAGTAGGATCATAGGTGTGAGCAAGAGGAGGTTGTTCAAGAACAGAGTGGGCTAAAAAATGATTTTACTTTTGTGATAGTTTGGTTCTTACACTAAACAAATGAATAAATGAAGCATTTGGTCCTAAACAGAACAGAATGCGTAAAGTTTCAGTGATTTTCTGTAGGTACAGTAAGCACAAAGGAACTGAACTTGTAAAACAACATATGATTTGAAAGCTACCAATTAATCCTTTTTATTGGTCATCCTTTATGTAAAGGGGGTTAATCCTCGGCAATCTCTGTTTCTTGTTGCATAAAGATTTTTGTATCATTTCTAAGGTGTTGGTTTGTAAAGTGGTAGGATATTTGTTACACAACTTATTATTACATAATGTCGTTTATTCATCAAACTCCAAGTGGACTATAACAAGTACTTAAAACCACTCATTATGGAAATTCATGGTCTTTATCAAAAGAAGTTCTTGAGCTTAGTATTATGCTTTTTTTTCCCTTTATGTAATTGTTTGTTCATGTGTGCATTATACATCTTTAGACCTTAGAATATAAGATAACAGAATATTAACATAAAAAGCAGTTGATGGCAGACACTAAGTTAGAGATAGATCATGATTATCTATAAATCTATGCAGAAAGCTATCTGCATTTCCATTTCCATTTCCTTAACTTTGTTCGAGAAGTTGTCTCATTGTGGGCGATAGGCCAAAGAATTTGTAGTTTCTGCCTTTCCACCTCCCTTATCTAGATACATTTTTTCTGCAGTTAGTATTGGTTTTGCTTGTGTCATGTTATCATCTAGCCATGAAATGAAACGCTTTTTGGAGCATTAATATTGGTTTATAGTTGTTAGGGAACTTTTTCATGTTCAATTCTATAGATTTTAGCTCACCTACTAAATGACTATTTCTATCTCTAACGATGAAACCGGAGTATTATAAGAGCCATATTGACTGCACTGGAATAGAATAATTTGCTTTTGACAGAATATCTTATTTTGGGATTTTCAATTGGCATTTTATTTTTTTTGGCCCTGCAAACAGCCAACTTGTATTTAAGCTTGCATTGTAGATTGAAAAAGACAAATATATTTGTAGAATCTGAAAAAGACCAAAATATATATATATATATAGTATATATATATATATAATATATAGGAACGACTAATTATTAATATTTAGTATATAGTTCTTTAGGTGTGAAGAAAGGGGAAAAAAGAAAACAAATTAACCAAATTCATAGTCTATATATGAACGACTAATTATTAAATTTCAGTTATATAAGTTCTTAGGTGTGAAGAAAAGGGGAAAAGAAAACAAATTAACCAAAATTCATCAGTCCAATTCAGTAATTTTGTTCAAACAGGATTTTGCTCACCTCTATACCTGCTGAGAACTCTTCAATTTCTCATTTTGATATCTTTGGTTCAATCCCTTTGGATCAGAACCTTCATTTCTTTCTTTGTCTAAGTTGATTTATCTACTAAAAATAGTCGGCAAGCCTATCTCCTGGATACTTGTTACATTAAATGACTGGCATCAATAAATCCCATTATTTTGAAAAAAAAAAAATTATTTTGTCTTTCTGGCTAAAATGACACCCTAGCAAAATGGAAAAGATTCTCATCGCATGACTTGCTCGTTTGGTAAAATATATCGTTCATGAAAATGAAAATTATTGGCCATATGCATAAAATTCTTTTTGTGAAATTCTAACCTTTTGATCTCCTAAACAATCAGAACAACTTTTCTCTCTGTTGCCACTTGATGATGGTATCTGAATAACATTTTACAGGCCTGTGTTGAGTTACTTGAAGAAGAAAATGTCAAGATTCCATCTTGGATTTGCTTCAGCTCTGTGGATGGTGAGAATGCCCCGTCCGGGGAGACTTTCCGGGAGTGCCTTGATGTAATAAATAAGAGTAACAGAATAAATGCAGTCGGAATCAATTGTGCACCTCCCCATTTCATTGAAAGTCTCATATGCAAATTTAAAGAGGTGGATGACTAAACTTCAAACAATTGACTAAATGTTAATAACAAGCTCAATTTATTTTTTCTGTTATATTCTTATGTAAGTTTGCGTCTGCACCTGCAGTTGACTGAGAAGTGGATAGCTGTTTATCCCAATAGCGGTGAGACATGGGATGGCAGAGCTAAAAGATGGCTGGTGAGTTCTGTGATTAATTTCGTTCTGAATGATTAACTTAAACAAATTCTATCTTTTCTGTTCTGATACAGCTTGTGATGAAATTTTATTAATTCTGTACTGTGGATTGACAGCCATCAACTTGTTTTGATGATGACAAATTCGAGTTGTTTGCGGCAAAATGGCACGATTTAGGAGCTAGCCTAATAGGAGGCTGCTGTAGAACAACACCTTCTACAATTCGAGCCATTTCAAAAGTTTTAAAACAAAGAGACTTAGCAGTTTCTGGATAGGTAGAGCCTCGAGTCCAATCCCCTCAAGAATAGCTACACCGTTTCCATTTTGTTTTTTCATTATAATGAAATATAGTTGCTCTTCATGGCTTCCATCTATTCAATATTATTAATCTCACACCTTTCGCTGGTTATCAAGCAGGGAATTTTGGATATCCCCCTTTGAAAATTATATATCAGATACAATTCTTTAAATTTTGCATTAATCCAATAGTACATATCATAATTTAATTTGATTATTTTACTTTTTTTTTTGGGAAAATGTGCAGAGACAAAAGATGAAGCAATTGTTGATATTTTCATATAAATTTAGCCTACAATTATTTGACCATAATATGTCAAATAAACAACACATGTATAGGAACAGGAACAGGAACTTAGGACAAAATATATCAAATTATATAATAAAAAAATAATATTGGATTTGGAAGCCATAAGACAATTGTAATTTTGGCTTTGTTTCAGGGGCTTGTGCCCAGCAATACTTAATATGCTGTGTCTTCTCACTTAATTTTATGGATAAAAAACTAAATATTTCAACTTTTATAATACTATTTCATTAGAAAAAAAAAATTACCAATTATATTTTAATGATAATGCGACGGATATAGACGGTTTCACATTTTTTTTATTGCACCACAGCTTATGCAATGAGATTAAACTATGCTGGAATTAGTAATATTAAAGTAAAGTCCATTCAGCAATAACAACTTCAGGTTTCGAATCTCTAACCTTGCAAGAAATGTTTACATGAGAATAAAGTTCATTTCTACCGATCTAACGGTGTTTATCACATCCATTTTATGTACTATTAAAAAGAGTTCGATTTTGTGACAAGATTAGAAATGGAGATTTTTACTAATAACATATATAGATAGTTTATTTTTCACTGCACCAACATGGTGAATTTACTAAACAGGAATGTAGTTAAATTCCAAATTATTGTAAATAAGATTAAAACTTTTAACTTTTGAATGTTGGGCAACAACTTTTAATATATGTTTTTATTATTTATAGTGCCGAGTATTTATACTAATACTTATTAAAATTTAAAAGAGCAGATAAAATTACTCTTTAATATTCAATAAAATGTTAATAAAATAACTGACAAACAACAACTAGATCAACTACCTTTACCGAATAGCTAAACGTTATCATTCACTCGCAGTAAGTTTTTTGAATTTACATGCGTGAGTTGAGATAAAGACGAAGAGAGACAAGCAACAGTCATTTTCAGGGAAGGAATATGCATATGCATGTACAGGTTTGTCATTGAAAGCTCCTTACAATTTTCTTCTCTTGGCTTGATTTTAGAGGCATTGATGAGACTTCCAAATCATCGTTATCCAATTATCTAATCCGTATCTCTTTATAATCAAATTGAATCAGGGCGTAATATTGATGTTGTTATCTTAATTTGATTTTTCAATGGTTTGTCAATTTTTGCTACTTCTTCCACATACAGCAACCTAAAACTCCGACTGGTCTCTTTCAATTGATTCAACATGTATAGATCTATTACCTTCTCAATAGTCAATCCATTCGTGAAGCTTCTTAATGCATCAAGAAGTAGTTTAGGAATTATTCAAACTTCATTTCAATGTCTATAAGGTAATTGGGGAGAGAGGTACATATCCTTTCAGCATGGCTATCGTGAATTGCTAACTTCCCATTATAATGAGTTACTAATTTATTTCATAATTCAAAAATAAATTTTTATTACATAAGTTTATATAGCGAATATTAAACTTTAGACCCTGAACCTTAAATCCTAGACCTTAAAGATTTAAAATAATATACCATAAACCTTAAAATAATATACCATAAACCTTAAAATATAAATCATAGATCCTATAAAACACTAACTTCTAAAGTCTTAATCTTAAACCCTAAAATTCTAAATTAGAAAAACCTAAATATTAAACACTAAGACTTTAAAATTTAAATCCTAACCCATTATAATTAAGACTCTAAAATCTAAACCCTAAATCTTAAATCTTAATTTTATTATGTTTAAGAGATTATCCGAAATCCTGTTATATATATTTTTCAATTTTTATTTCACTTTTTTATACTTATCATTAGACCATGCTCATAATTGACCTAACTTATTTAGATTTTAATTGAAATTGCATCACAATGAATATGCATTTAATTTTTCCTTCTAAATTTCAACATGAATAATAATTTGCCTTTCATGAGATAATGATTTGAATTTGGTATATCACATAGAACTAAATTGCCCCTACAATACCGTTGTATTTCGAATGGCAATACTCCTCTAAGATACACTATAGTAGGATCATTGGAGAAAGACCTAAAATTTTTAGAAGGAGATAGATAAAGGGACCGCGACAGAAAAGTCTCAACTTAAAAGCGGTAAAAAGGGGCAAAGGAGACAAACCAACAAAAGGGTCTCCCTCAAATTTTAGGGCAGGGGAAAGTTGGATAAAGAGAGCAATTAATAAATGGGTTCAAAAAGACCCATAATTCTCATCCTTAGCAATTAGCATCCCACTCTTGACCCCACAAGAAATCCCATGATAACAGAGCAAACCAATAAGAAACCAAAGATTAGGATTATCCTTCCAAACTCAACCAATTAAAAAAAAGATAAGGCCCTGTTGTGGTCCTAAAGTGCACAAATCGCTTTCTCTGAGGAAAACTCTCAAAACCCAAAAGTGCTTCTAAACTAACTGAAGGGGGAAGGAGAAGAAAACCCAATATATACTGTAAAAAGCGCGCTTTGTGGGTCACACCCTACTGGATACAACTACTCCTACTTCACTTCTGCTACTGCTGCTGCTATTCATATCATTGCAGCCCAATAATTTTCTTTTCATTTCCTTTCTTTCTTCAACTTTTGTTTGATTTGGTTCTTGTTTCAAGTTTTTATTAAGAACCCTTATGATTTCACACAAAAATGTGGCCAACGCCGTTGGTGGCAAAACGGCAAGAGCTTGTGATAGTTGTATTAGAAAACGGGCAAGATGGTATTGTGCAGCTGATGATGCATTTCTTTGCCAAGCTTGTGATTCTTCCGTTCATTCTGCTAATTCATTAGCCCGTCGACATGAAAGGGTTCGTTTAAAAACTGCTTCTTTAAAATCTTTGAATCTATTTTCCAAAGAGAGTACTAGTTGTGTTCCTTCTTGGCATCAAGGGTTCACCAGAAAGGCAAGAACACCACGTCATGGAAAGTCGGTGAATTTCATTTCAAAGAATGAAGAGAAAATAAGAAATCATATTCCATTTGTGCCTGAATTAGGTTCAGATGAAACATCTAATGAAGAAAATGACGAGGAACAGTTACTTTATAGGGTTCCAATCTTTGACCCATTTGTCGCAGAGTTATGCGCGCCAACTGTATCCAATGAAGCAGAAACAATAATTGCTGATCGAACAGTTGGTGATGTTAATGGAGTCGAATCGAAAACTCCTTCTTTAGGTTGTGATGTTGGTCAAAGCTTACATGGTTGCGGGATTATGCCGTCCGATATGGACCTTGCAGAGTTTTCTGCTGATGTGGAGAGTCTGCTTGGTAGAGGTCTTGAAAATGAGTCGTTTGGTATGGAGGAATTAGGACTTATGGATTGTAAAGAAGAAGAGTATTCTTTAGGAAAGGTGAAGGTTGAAGAAGAAAAGGAAGAAGAAGAAGAAGATGATGATGATGTAAGGGAATGCCAGGTTCATACTGAAATTGATATGGCAAGAGAACCGCCTTTTGAGTTTAGCTTTGACTATGATTCAACAACTTGTGGAGACGATGATGAGAAAGTGGAATTGAAGAAGAATGGAGAATTAGAAGGTGATGATGATGAAAAACTTAATAAAAAAAAAAAAAGAAAGATACTATTGAGGTTAGATTATGAGGCAGTTATTACTGCTTGGGCAAGTCAAGGCTCTCCTTGGATTACCGGAAACCAGCCGGATATCAATCCGGACGACTGTTGGCTGGACTGCATGGTACGTAATTAGTAACAGTTGTTACATGCTCTCCAATTCAATGATTATTTGTTATTATTCTTAATTAAATAGTTCATTCTGCATTATCATTCAGGCGCTTGACTTGTTCGTTATTTGCTGAATTAAAAATGATATTTTGCAGGGAATTTATGGGGCAGAAGTACTTCACCATTCTTACGGAGATCATAACGGCGGTATAGGGATACAGCCGGCAATGACTGACGGAGGGCGAGAAGCGAGAGTGTCGAGGTATAGAGAGAAGAGAAGAACAAGATTGTTTTCAAAGAAAATAAGATATGAGGTGAGGAAATTGAATGCAGAGAAAAGGCCAAGAATGAAAGGAAGGTTTGTTAAAAGGGCAAATTTTGCAGCTCCTGTTTTTCCTTTGCATTCCAAGTAATTGCTAATTAATTACAAGGTTGAATTTACTATTTTTTTTATCTCCCAAAAAAAAAAAAAAAAAAAAAAAAAAAAAAAAAAATTAATTAATTTACAGTTTGAATTTTACTATTTTTTTTAATCTCCCAAAAAAAAAAAAAAAAAAAAAAAAAAAAAAAGAGGAAGAAAAGGAATTATGTATTTATTAGTTTTAGGCCAAAAAAAAAAAAAAAAAAAAAAAAAAAAAAAAAAAAAGAGGAAGAAGAAGGAATTATGTATTATTAGTTAGGCCTTTGGGGGCCGGTGGCTGTGCAGTATCTAATGAATAAATAAAAATCCTGAGCTGTAAGGCTTATTTTATGTTCTTATTATAAGTAAGTTATATATTAAATATATATATTTATAATACTTTAATCCTATATAAGAAAATTAAATAGAAACTTTATATAATAAATTAATTATAAAGATATATAAATTTTTTATTTATTTATAGGAAATATTTTTGAAAATTTACAATTGAAACCAGATAAAAGCATTTGCGGGATTGATCATCATAAGTTAGATCATAGGTTCGATCCTCCATAATGCAAACTTTATTGAGCCAGCCCTTTATCTCAAAGCGCGAGCGGAGATTAGTCAGATTTATAGACGGTTAAAATGGACACGAATCTAAATATCTCGTGTAAATGTAAAAATAAAAAAATAAAATTGAAGCGGGCTAAGTGCAAATTTCCATTAAGTTTGAGATAAAATGACTGGAACTGAATGGTGCTTGTCGAATTGCTGCCTGTGAGTGCAAGAAAAATAATTGTACTTTTTTTTTGAATGGAAATAATTGTACGTTGAATAGAAGAAGAAAAGCCTAGTTTGTTAAATGCAATATAATTTAATTTTTGCAAGGATTTCCTTCGATCTGGTTGATTTTTCCAAAGGACATGAATTAAATCATGCTCGTTGATTTTAGCTGATTGTGTAGGCTATTTGTACCTCGAACAGTTGAGTGTAATCCTCCTCTATTAGCTGAAGCTTTCAGAATTTTTGAGCTCAGATTTTGCGTTAAGATAGTCTGGTAATATAGTCTATTCCTTCATTAATATTTGATATTCAGGCGTAATAAATTTCTGTAAAATAAAACTTAATATTATAGAAATTTTCTTTTATGGTTGTATTTGAAAAATTATCAATTTTTAAAGATGATTTCAATTTTCTACAAGTATTTCTTATTGTATTGTAAAATGAATATTTTTAAGAAAGGTAAATAATTAAGAAAAACAGAATCAAAATTCAACTGCCAATGATATGATTGGTGGGCATAGGAAGAATCTGATAGCGATTCAGTACTGAGAGCGGCCCCATAATATTAAATTTCAAATTTGGCCTTTCTCCACTATTAAACATTATATATATATAATTTTTCAATGAGTATTGCGACATTTTTTTATATGAAATTAATTTTATTTCAAAATTCTTGACAACGCCTCTCCATAAATATTTTCTCTATAGATTAATCTCTATCTTTACTGAAGCTTTACCAAAACTTATATTCCAGGAAAAATGGTCATTATCAAGACATCCAAACATGAAAGTAATTAGTTGGGACCATAGGTATATATGTCTTTGTGTGTTTGGGTATATGGGTTTTATTATTATTATTTTTTTTATCAATTTTGAATCATTATATTATTTAGGAGAAGCAAAATCTGTCCATGTCTAAGAAAATGAAACTCCAAGTAAATATCATGAAAAATTGGTCCTCCTTTACACATTATAATATGCTCTTCAACCCAAAAACATTCCTCGGTTCTCCACTTCTGTATTGAGCTTCAGTTTTGTTTTGGATCAAGTGATTACAACTTACGTTCTTGTAGCAAAAGCCCATTGAGCCCAACAGCACAAACAAAAATGAAGAAGCATAAACGACATGATAAAACGACGAAAGTATTCTTTTCAAAAAAAAAAAAAACGACGAAAGTATAAATTAAGGATAAAAATGGGGAAAGGATTTGTGGTATGAACCATATATAGCATTAGCTATTGAATATTTTACATTTCTAAACTCATTCTGACCTAACTAGTTTTGAAGACGACTCGGAAGTGAAGCCAGTTAGCATCTATCTACAGTAGAATAAGTCGTTAATAGGCATTAGTAAATGATAACAATATGTTAATGGTTCTTAATAAATAGATAGAATATTAGTGTTTTTAAGAAAATATTAGTGTTTTATTTTATTTTTTTCAATGTATGATTGAAAATTGCTTCGTTTGAACTAAAATATTATGTGTAGTTCGGCGTATTGGTAGACCAATACGCTGAATGCAAGTAAAGTTGAGCATTTGATGTAACAGAATCAAATTGATTCGATCAATCTAACCAAACAGATTTCAAGATGACCGAACCTAAATTAGAGAGTGTGGAAATGACTTGGTATTGAACTGAATCAGATTGGTTTGAGTCTGATTCGATTATTTAAAATTGAATAATTTATTTTGAGTGTAGACTAAATATCAATTTGGTTAGCTATCTAAGTGATCAAAACGAAAATTGAAAGTCGTTTAGTTATCACTATTCAAACCAAATGATAAAATGTTAGCCAAATCAAATTAAAATTAATTGGTTTGATTCGATTATTCTACCAGACCCAGTACTATTCCCCCTAAGTCTAGGTAAGTCTTTGCCATAAATCATAGCATTAAAATGATTGAAAATTCTTAAAATGCATAGTAATAAGTGGTGAAATTCAAAGCCTTCGTAAAATGAACCATATAGGACCTAATCAGCCAACCAGGAAAGTAGAAGCGTGAAGTCCACACGGAGGAAAAGAACCAATACATGCAATGAAACTTGGAAACTCACAGACCCCAACACACCATGCATGAACAGCAGCTGTCTCAATTCTTACAGATCCATCCTTTTACGTGGACCGACCTCACTGTCATCTCCAACACCAAACTATCAACCACACCTACCCCATTCATCATAACCATTTACTATGTATTTCCCTTATTCAATGGATGAAATCCAATTATTAACGCCAAAAATAAATTCATTTTGCTTATTCATTCTGTGCCCTGATTTGTTAGCTCCTTTATTCTCTCTATCACATATATTCTTGCAAATAGCATTAAAGAAAATGAAAATGTTGTTGTTAAGGTTTCTCGAATTCTATTTGAGAAAATTATCGGTCTCCAACATAAATTATGTAATTAAAATTTAAAATTATATGCATATACATTATGTATATGTCTTTTGATTCTTTTGCATTGCTGTATTGTATACACCAAAACCCAACTCTTACAACAACTTAAGCTATTCAAGGGATAATTGAAAAAAGAAAAAGGGAAAAGAAAAGCTTCCTCTTCATTTTCCTTTTCTTTTACCTAAAAAAGAAAAACAAAAAATTACTCAGCTATGCCTATACCCAAGAAGAACCAAGATTTTGCATTACTGCACTGGAACCAAACCAAGAGTCAGCTCTAATCCAGCAACCTCATCTCCGTCATCGCTTCCGCTATTATTCAGGTTCTGGTTCGGTTCACGATCCCGGTTCACATCCTCTACTGTTTCAATGGAGAACATGCTTTCATCATCTTTGCTACTATCCCCATTCGCCATCTGGCTCGACCAGGGTTCACGAAACTGTTCGAAACTCAAGTCACCGAGGTTAACTCGACCAATTGACTCAGAAGGAGAAGTTGGCTTATTAATTGGCCGTTTGAATCGGGTTCTGTTCTTAACCTTGTTGAGTTCAACAGAGCTAGAGTCCTTGGACACATGACGAATATCGTAGGTTTTGAAAGGATCAATCAAGTGTGGTGGCGGTGCATCAGGAGCGGAAGGCATTTGCATTATCGGTGTTCCTCTAAGAACTGCATCAACGGCTGCTTGACACTGAGCCCAATTTCCAGACCAGAGCAACCCAACTGAACCATACACGGGATTCACTATCCTTCCACAAGCCTCATATAGCAGTGACCTAAATACAGCTGCATGCAACACCAAAGATTAGCACGTTATAATATCGATTAAGTATTGAAATGCAAGAGATTAGTAAGGGGTTTCAAATCCTGAAAATTACCGGGACGGAGGTGCTGAGGACCGGCATCGATAAGGTTGATGAGGCCGGCACGGCCATAGAACTTGGCTAAGAAAAGAGTAGCATTGGCTTGAGAATCAGGGGATTTGATCCATTGAAGGCAAGGTCTGATAGTGCAGTCATCGCTGCAACCTTTGCGTAAGACCCTGCAGCCATTGCAGCTCATCCTCATGTTGGTGAGTGATGTGATAGAGAGAAATTAAGGACAGGGTGTACGGAGATGGAGAAAGAGAGAGAAGTGGAGAACAGAAGAGAGTATATAAGGGAGAAAGAAGGAAAGGGAAGGTGAGCGCAGCGGTTTAGAAAGGGAGTGTGAGAGAGAGCAGAAAACCAGGGGTTTTGTTCCAACTTTTTATCTTTGGTTAGGTAGAAGTTGGAGTTGTGAGTATTTTCTCTTTGGAAAAAGCCATGGATTCTTTTGGCTTTATGCTTTCATACTATTTTAACCTACATGCACAACTTTATTACAATCCTACCACTTTGTCCTCTACTCTCTCCCATTTTCCTTTTTTTTAGATGTTCTCCAACACGATTTAACATGAGTCAAAATTTAAAAGAAAAAAAAAATGTTTTTTTTATTCGATTTAAAGGTGGAGCGAACCAAAATAACACTTTGATTTGTATAATAACTCTTTAATTCATTAAATTGGTAAAAGATAATTCGAATTCGAAATGTTTTACTCTTCACGTTAAGTTTGAAAAATCAAATTGGGATATTTCATTTAAAAAACATATATATTATAGTAAATTTATTTTTGTTATTGGATCTCATATATCTTGTTGGCTTTCTCCAATTTACAAGTTAACAAAAAGCATTCAAAGATACTTTCCTCAAAAAAAAAAAAAAAAAAAAAAAAAAGAAAAACATATCATATTATAGTAAATTTTAGTTTGTTATTGGATCTCATCATATCTTGTTGGCTTTCTCCATTTACAAGTTAACAAAAAAGCATTCAAAGATAAAAAAAAAAAAAAAAAAAAAAAAAGAAAGAAAAAAGGAAAAAAAAACATTCAAACATATTTGTCCATAACATCTATGCTGGAAATGGAGTAAGAGGCAGCATAGTTGCACTACAAACCATATTTACCGCGCAGTAAATTTCTGTGCAGCTTACTTGGCTGATTTTGACAGGCTATTATTCGCTAAACTCTCACGCTTTAAATGTCCCACCTTTTGGTTTATGTTCGTGCATAATGCACGAGGCCTATGATATGGCATACAATGGTCTTTACTTATTGTTTTCATGAACTTCGCCTTTCCTCTTGAACCAAAAAAGAAAAAAAAAATCCATATCTATCAGGAACAAATTTACTTAAGAGAGGAAATAATAATTTCAGGTTATTAAACTATCAACATGTATGATAGTTTAATAATCTCAGCTTTTTTGCTTTAGATATTATATATATTTATTATATCAACACATAGTGGATCCTCATTATTTTCATAAATTAATGAAAATAATTTATGAAAAACCATAAATAAAAATGGAGAGAGGAAATAATAATTTCAGGTTATTAAACTATCAACATGTATGATAGTTTAATAATCTCAGCTTTTTTGCTTTAGATATTATATATATTTATTATATCAACACATAGTGGATCCTCATTATTTTCATAAATTAATGAAAATAATTTATGAAAAACCATAAATAAAAATGGAGAGAGGAAATAATAATTTCAGGTTATTAAATAAGGATTACTTGCACAAGAACATAGTAGCTAATGCGTATTTCTTTGCTATTTTATGGGTTTTATATGTTACATGCTGCTATTGTATTTTTACTGGAAAAGTGGACAAAATATTAATAGATGGCGCCAATTTGTTAAAATAACAATTCATTATTAACTTGATACATGGATAGGCATAAATAGCAAGTATAGACAAGTAATTTTCTTTATTTTAACTTACTTCTGGCTAAATATTAGCCCTATTATAGTAATTATATATTGGATTATATATTTCCAATTCCAACAATTATATATGCATAAACATGCTACTTCTATAAGTTTTTCTTATTTAATTTTTAAATTTTGGAGTACTGATAAGTAAAATTAGCATTTACATTTGAACCGCTTATTTTAATAATAGTAATTACATATTTAACTTCTCATCTTTCTCGAGATTAAGTTTAATCAAAAATTGTCTATTTTTGAAAAAAAAAATACCTAGATCAAGTTTATGGTCCTATTTATGGATCAAACCAATGAAACTAATAATTTTTTATAAAATGTTATAATTTTTTTTCTAAATGTATAGTCAGTAATACTATTATTTTAATAAAAACGATTAATTTTATTGGTTTAGTGTATAATGGGATAATAGACCCGACGTAAATAAATTTTTCACTTTTTTTTTTTTTTATTGATCAGGCTGTTAGGTGGTCTTTTCCAACATCTTTTAACTGCAAAAGTGTGCCTGAACCTGAAGGACACGGAACGCAATTCCGGAACAAGCAGGATAGCAAATAGGGAAGGAGCAGGAGATGAAAGGTGGGAGTCCAAGAAAAGAAACGCGTGGAAGGCACGAGTTTAGACCAAAAAACATCAACCGAATCGCCACGTCTCATACAATCAAAACGAAACTAAATAAATGATTATGCTCACTGCTCAGTTTAAAATAAAAATAATAATAATCCTGGTTTTCAGGAGTCCGTACAACTAGAAGGGCTCTTTTTGAAAATTTAGAAAAGAAAAGGGCAAAAAGTTAGAAAATAGAAAATGTTAAGTGAAACCGCTTTTGTATGCACAGTGTCTCTGTGGGCTGCACAGTGGAAAGTGAACGCCAGTGGTTTTGAAAGGCAAATGTATATATGTCTCTTTGTAATTTGGTAATTGGTTTGGTATTTATTCATGGATTCTATGCCTTCTTTCCTGATTACATTATAGATTTTTGGGCATTTTCATTCAATTGCCTTTGAGCTGGCGCTAATTATGGTTATTCAGTCAATTTGTTACTCAAATAGATAGATCATAAAATAATCAATTTGTTTTTTATTTTTAAATTATTTATAATCCAATTTTTATATAAATAAATTTAAAATGTGAAATTATTTTATAAACAAAATAAAATTCATTTGCAAATGAATGTTTCATCTTTGATATGTGTAATCTAAAAATACAATTTAATTCAATTCAATTTTATAGAATTACATTTGAAATAAATTTACAATTACAAAATCATTTGGTTTTATTTTCCGAAATACCATTAATAATAATGTTATGAAACTAAATAATACAATACCGTTTATGTTTATTTTATAAAATATAATAATTTATTTATTTTTATTAAAACAAATAAATTATTTCAAAGCAATATTAGAAAGGGTAGAGGAAAAAAAAATAGAAGGCTAGGAAGAAATGGGTAGTTTTGTTATAATTTCGTAGAATTTATTTTAAAATTCTACTTATTTTGATAGAATTTGGTTTAATTATATTTAATTATATAAAATTAAATTTTTACAATTCAAACCTTCATTTTTCTTTTAAAATTTAGGAAATATTAAAAAAATTTTGAAATTTTTATTATTTTGAAATAATATTAATAATACATTAAAAAATATTATTAACTCTATCAATTATTAAAAAAAAAAGAAATTGAAAGTTTTGTTATTTGAAATAATATTAATAATAATATTAATTTAATTTATTAAAACATTAAATTTATGGTACTGAAGGAACAGAAAAGTTTCTTATTTAGAATAATATAAATAATATTATTAATTTAGTTACTTGTTAAAAAAAATGAACTCATAATATTAATTTCAACTCAATTGATCATGTTTAAATTAAAATAAAATAAAATAGAAAATAAAAAAATAATACCATTAATTTAATTGATTATTAAAAAAACTGAATTCATAACTTTAAATAAACAGAAATCAAAAGATTAGATTCATTAAATAATATTAATTATATTAAATTTTAACTAAATTAATGTTGGAATTAAAAGAAATAAAAATAAAAAATAATTAAAAAAATGTCAACACATAATGGATATATCAACTGAACATGTATGATAGTTTAATAATCTCAGCTTTTTTGCTTTAGATATTATATATATTTATTATATCAACACATAGTGGATCCTCATTTTTTATGAATTCAAAGAAATTTGTATTATGGAAGACCAACCATTCATTCACATTAGTAATAAAAACAAGCAATGATGAATACCTAAGGCTGGGGGATAATTATTCGCGTCCCAATATTTATTTATTACTATATTTGGCTAATAGTTTGTATCTCAAACTATTCTAAAATTACATTATTTTTTTTTTCTAAAAAGGAAAACGCTCAAAGCTGTATATCATATGCTCTTATTCAAAGAGATGCAGAGTAAATAATGCGTACACATTGACTAATCTTCTTAAGGTAATGGAATGACTTCAACAAACTTGGACTTTGATCATTGATGACTCGTTCTTTAACCAATTTTACATTTCTTGGACTTCAAATTTACATAATTAAATAGTGGAATTGTGGAATTCCACATGCTCTTTTTCTGCTAAATCTAGAAAGATTAATCTTACTAATGCATACTAATTAGAGATTTATATATTTATATATCTACCTTCACTTTTACGTCACTCAATAGGCATACATACTAATCCATTTTAGGCATTCTCTTAATTTTAATTATGTATAATCTGATATTTTTTACAGTTCAATTACTTGTTGAATTTGTTTATAGATTGCTTGCTTCAGGTTAATTAATCTTTATCAAATCTTGTCAATTTGTGGTTCTTTAATTAAAATCTCCTATTTCGTCCAACAATTTTAAATTGCCTTTTAATGTATTCACTTTTTTTTTTTCTTGGATACATGCTATTAGGAATATTTTCATATCAATTAATTATAAATATAGAAATTAAATTTCTTTTCGAATAATGTTAAGGATGTATTCTCTCATTTTAGCATACGATAAACTTAAAAATAGAAATATTAGGCTCAAAATATTTTTTTACTGAATGCTCGTCTTTATCAACTGGATTAACTTGTCAGGTTAATATTTATTTATTTTTAATCTCCTGCAAGTTGGAATAAAAATGGAGAGCAAATTGTGGTATTGTGTAGATTCCTCGACCATTATTGTATTATTTGAAAGAGTGATTAAACACATTATTTCCAAGATACCTCGTACGATCATAGTTCTTTTTTTTAGGTACAGCCATATTAAATTTCCTTCCAGGAAACAATTCTCAAGTGTTTGGTTATATAATATTACTAGCATTACATGCACGTGTTCCTATATATATATGTCTAGGCAATGTACTTACATGGTTTTGGGAGATCTTAATTAGCGTTTAATAATAAGT